GCTGTAGTGTCTTTCCAGAAGTGAGGCGTCTGTTCCTCTCTCCTGGGTCCGTGTCACCCCACGTGTGGCCTGGCCCTCAGCAACACGCCTGTGGAATAATTTGTATAAATCTGGGAAACCAGGTTGGTAGGTTGAAACGCTGTGTTACGTTCTTCAGCAAGATTATGGGGGTCCTCAGTCGCTCAAGACGCTTCTGCCTCAGTCCAGGGAACATGAGACATTTGGGGGTTTAGATCTTGAGAAGCCTTATCTTTAAGGAGGCTGGGCTTTAATAGGCTGAGGTAAGGAGGGAGCAAGGGCAGGGTCAGAAGAAAAGGGAAGGTCAGCAGAGAGTGTGGAGGGAGGTGGTTGGAGGCAGGGCCCGGAGCAGGGCAGCTCCTGCGGAGTCTGCGGACCTGACTGTGAAGCCGGGCAGGAGAAAAACATGCTTCAGAAGCCGTTTGTCTTCTTTCAGTTGTTTGCCTCAGTTAATTTCAAATAGTCTTTTGTAAGGAGGCACACTTAGCTTCCTGAAAATATTTGCAAGTCTTGAGCTACCAATTAAAATATGTATCGTATTCAATGTTTTAGAATTATGACTTCCTAATTCAGTTACCAATAAAACAAGTTTGTGGAGATCGAGATCGGAAGTTCCCCATAAAGGCCATTGTAGTTTTAAATTACATTTAGTTCATTTGGTTAAATTATTAGCAATGCATTTTAGGAGAGACCATGTTGTTTTTAAGAGCAAGCTTGCTAGCAGGCCATGGTGGGGGAGGGGAGGGGCAGAGGGAGAGGAAGAGTCTTAGGCAGACTCCATGCCCAGCGCGGAGCCTTACCTGGGCCTTGATCTCATGACCTGAGCCCAAATCAAGATTTGGCTGCTTTTAAACTGAGCCACCCAGGTGCACCATGACCATGGTTTTGAAACCTAAAACTGGCCAGGGTCCCCATTGGGTGCCCCTCACGGCGCTTTGATGACTGGAATCCATTCTTGGTGGTTTTTTCTAGACTGAAATAAAAATTTCTAATCACTGGTCCTTACAGAAGAAATCAGACCAAGGCCAGCGCATTTCCAGCAGGCACAGATCCGAGAGGAACAGTCTAGTTCTGAAAAGGAGGGGAACAAAAGCCAGTGAGTCATCTCAGAAAGAACAAGCCCCTAACACAGGTTCCCCATAGACCCTGCAGAGTGCAGACGGGGAGCGGGGCTCTGATCCCAGGACAAAACTTACCCTCCAGCTCAGGGTGGGGGAGAAAGCAGTGAGCGCAGTGGGCTTTGTGGGACCCGCACCTGTTTGCTCAGCAGCTTGGAGAGGTGGGGTCTTCTCTGGGTCCATGCATGATCATCAAGTAACATTGACGTTAAAAATAAAGCCGTCAGTTCTTTTTACAGGAAAAATTGTTTTATCTGGGGGTGAGTGGGTGGTTCAGTTGGTTAAGTATCAGACTCTTGATTTTGGCTCAGGCCATGATCTTGAGGTCTTGAGATTGAGCTTTGCTCTGTGCACAGTCTGCTTGAGATTCCCTCTCTGTCTCCCTCTGCTCCTCCCCCACTGTGCTCACTCTCAAATAAATAAATAAATAAAATCTTTAAAAAAGAAAAAACGTGTTTATCTGGGAATATCAGAAAATTGTAATATAATACAAGGAAGCCCCAGCAAAACCACAGGCAAGTCTGGGGAAGAAAGGGAGCATGCTCCTTTTTAGAGGAGGGGGCATTGGGAGGGTCCTGCTATACAAAACATCCATTGGAGCAAACTGGAGGTTCCATGTGTTGCGGCTTCCAATTGGCTGGACTGTGGCTGCATCTCATTGGCTGAGCTGTGGCTGCATCTCATTGGCTGAGCTGTGACTGTCTCTCATTGGCTGGACTGTGGCTGTCTTTCATTGGCTGAGCTGTGACTGTCTCTCATTGGCTGGCCTGCGGCTGTATCATTGGTTGGCCTGTTGCCACACAGGGAAATTATTTTCCTTCCTCCTGCGTGGAAGGTAAGGTAGTGTAGATTTGTAATGCGCATCTGTCCCTGTTAAGTCTGCAGTTGGCCCTGAGGGAAGGGTTTGGGTGCTTTCTCTGTGGACTCCTGACGCCATTTTAGTCATGTCTCGTTTATTTTCAAAGAGTTGGTGGGCCTTTGGGTGATTTTCACTTGCTGGCTATTATGAATCAGGCTGCCGAGAGTATATGGAAATTAGTCTTGGGTCGATCGATACGATACTAGGTGTGGATTGCTGTATTGCATGGTAATGGTACATTCATCATTTGGACTCTTCCCCGTTGGCTATACCATTTTCCATCCCCAGCAGCATAAATGCATGAGATCCTCCTTCCTCACGTCCTCACCAGCTCTTACTTGTATGGCTTTATAGCCATTCTTTTTTTTTTTTTAAATTAAGATTTTATTTCTTTATTTATTTTAAAGATTTTATTTATTTATTCGACAGAGAGAGACACAGTGAGAGAGGGGCACAAGCAGGGGCAGAGGGAGAGGGAGAACCACACTCCCCGCTGAGCAAGGAGCCTGATATGGGACTCGATCCCAGGACCCTAGGATCATGACCCAAGCTGAAGGCAGGCGCTTAACGACTGAGCCACGCAGGCGCCCAAGATTTTATTTATTTTTTGACAGAGACAGACAGCGAGAGAGGGAACACAAGCAGGGGAAGTGGGAGAGGGAGAAGCAGGCTTCCCGCGGAGCAGGGAGCCTGATATGGGACTCGATCCCAGGACCCTAGGATCATGACCCGAGCTGAAGGCAGATGCTTAATAACTGAGCCACCCAGGCGCCCGGCTTTATAGCCATTCTAGTGAGTTTGAAGGGATATCTGCTTGTAGTTTGATGTCCATTTCCCTGATGACTAATCTAGCATCTTTTCCTGAACCTATCGGTCACCTGCGTATCTTCTTTTGAGAAGTGTCTGTTCAGTTGTTAGGTGTGGGCTTTTCCTAGCTGCCCCTTATGAGGGTGAGGAGGCTCCCCTTTGTTCCTAGTTGGTTGAGTACTTTTGTTATGACAGGGTCGTGGGTTTAGTCAGATGCCTTTTCTGTGTCTGTTGAAGTGATCATGGGTTTTTGGTTTTTATTCTACTCATAAGGTTTATGACTGCAATTTTGCTTGCTGAACCAGCCATTTTATTTCCTATAATGGGAAAGACCTGCTGCTGATTCCCAGAGGGGTGTTCCACCGAGGAAGGGTTGCAACAGATAGCAGTAGTAATCCCTGTTGGGTTGTCCCCAGCGACAGGGGGAACCAGACATCGGGTGGCCAAACCGGGTCAAATAAAGAGGAGAGGACTCACCATGCAGACACATAGGAACGTGTTTGTCTGTAGATCAAGATCACAGCTGAATATAAGGGAACAAGGAAATTAAGGGGTTGGTCTCAAAAAAGCAAGGCAGCTGAGAGTCAGCAAGCGTCAGGAAAGGGTCCCACAGAATACATAACATGTGCAGGTTCACCTTGCAGGAGCTGCCTTGGCCAGCTGCGCCACATGTTGGGAATGGAGGTCTCAGGCGATGCGGGAGAGGAGAGGAAAGGGGTCCTTCGCCCACGCAGGCATGCACAGTCCGATCTGTTCACCAGGACCTTCGGTTGTCTGAGGAGTACTAGGGTTAGACCAGCTGAGGGGCTAAAAAGAGAAAGGAGAGGTAGGGGAGGATCCCGCCGAAGGGCAAGAGGGAAAATCCCTCACCTTTTTGGGCAAGGGTGGTTAATTGGGCTCCCCCTGGGGCTTTGGATCATCACCGAGGAATAACCTCAGCTGGAGGTCGTCAGTTCCCCAAGCAGTACTAGAGTTGGTCCACCAAGATAAACTCCCACGAAATTCCTGGAGAATTTGGCGAGAGGCCCGGCACAGCAAAAGGTCCCTAAATGTGGTCACCAAAGTGGGGCGACCTGATCTGGTGGAGCTGGTGGCATGGGTGGGGAAAGAAGTCACCCAAGGTAGAACAATAGACATAGAAGTTTACTGAATACACCATAAGGGAACAGCCAGCAGGACAGTAAAGGAGAAGCTGCCCCTAGGCGGTGCTGAGGGACAAGCTAGAGTTACACGAGTTACACGGTGGAGTGAGGAAGTATGGGAACATGTGGAATTTTCCTGTTTTGGTAACTGTGCCTGGTTGTAAGTAGCCCATTGGTTACTTAGGGCCTCTGGCCATTTCCAGGTAGGTCACTTAATGAGCCTGTTTATATTAAGCTGTGTGGTCACTGTGGGCCTTTGCCTTGCTGGTTATCTTTCCATTGTTCAAGCTTGTTGCCCAAAAGTGCCCTCTACACCATGTTCACTGCCCCCGCCTTAAACTCACCCTGGGCTCTGTTACCATTAATCCCTCAGGGGCTCTCCTTCCTGGTGCCCTTCTCCTTGAATTCTGGGCACTGGGGTATATATTTGAGGCCCTGATGACTTCCATGATTCTTCCAGAACTGAAATTCCTCTTACGCACCAGGTGTGCCAGGTCCCTGGTCCGTGTCCATGCTCACAGTCCACCTGATCCAGGGAAAGGGTCGTGTCTGCCTCTGCGGGGATAGAGGGGACTGCACCAGGCTCCTTGACCTTGTTGCCTTCCAAGGAGGGATCTGCTCAAGTCAAGTGTCCACAACATTCCGAAATTCTGGTTCAAGTTCTTGGAGCTGACAAGGCAGTAATCATCTTTGATCAAGTCAAAGATGTGTTTGCTGTCTGATTTTGTGTTGTTTGAATAAGGATCTCATTTTCCATTCTTTACTGTACTGGAGTGCTCAGATCTGCTCTGAGTCAGCAAAAATAGCCTGTATTTGGGTGCATGTAAGTCTGAATCAGCCGTTGTCGTCTCCCTCTGCTTCGGGTTCCCAGCCCCTCCCATCACTGAACGCGCGGTAGCGGATGTGCTCGCGTGTTGTCACTTCCCACACGGGTGCGACTCAGGTCCTAGGAATGGAGTGCGGCTCCCTGCGTGTCACCGCCCCCCCTCCCCAATCCTCCCACGCACATGGGTGAGGAGGGAGCGTTGCTGCAATAGGATACGTGGGATGTTTCAGGACGCGGTGGTCTTCGCGGATGTGGCTGTGTACTTCACCCCGGAAGAGTGGGCTTTGCTGGATCGTGGTCAGAGGAGGCTCTACAGAGAGGTGATGCTGGAGACCTGCAGGAACCTGGCCTCGCTGGGTAAGGACGGCTCCACCCCTTCACTAGAGTTTTAGGGAATGAACGTTTCTTACAAGAGTTTGATCTTACTGGGGCGGAGGAATGGGAATATATTGAAGAAGAGACAGCCATGGTCCAAGCCTTCATGGAAACTACCTAGGGTCACATACCTTTTCTGTGAAAACAAAGTTTTATGTGTTAAATTGACTCTTCATTAGCCTTGGTCCAAGTCTGAGACTCCCTAATTTTATAGATGTGAATGTGGCCTCCAGTATCACTTTGGGGCAGGGGGCACTGCTCTGTGGTTTTCACTTCTATGAAAGTTACATGGTGGTAACTCCATGTTGGGCTCGGTAATGGTGCTCCAATTAAACCCTCATTTAATGAGGAGGAAAGATGACAGACAGCTCACCTGGTCCCCTGGACACTCTGAGGCAAGAACTACATGTATTCCAACTCACTCTGAAAATGATCTGAAGACTGCCAGAAGGGATCTTTCGCAGCTATAGTCAGAAAGAGATGTCCTCATGGAAACGGGTAGGCGGGGCAGAGATGTGTTTGGAAGCCAAACCCCAGTGTGGCTATGCAAAAGTGGGTGGGACATCACAGGTACAGAGACGTAGGGAAATCAGTCCCCCCACCAGGCACCCCTACCCCTGGGGACCACAGTGCAAAGACCAGGGTCCGGAACACCTGCCTTTGCAAATCAGTGGGCCTTAAGTTTGGGAGCTAAAACATTAGTGGGGCTTAACTCCAGGAAAGATGGAGGGGTATAGAAAACAGAGTCTTCACTCTTTAAAGAGTTAGCACACACTATCAGGTGGCACAAGATGGAGCACAAAGCTGAATTTTGAAATGTACCTGGGTTATGTGTGAAGGAGATTTATTGCCTAATTTTAGGGCACACACTGGAGGCCCAGAGAGTTCTCTCTAGGATCTGACATGCTGGCAGGTGTCATTTAACTTTCCCTCCTTCACCCGAGATAGCCAGATACATCTGGGAGCCAGTTCTGACACTCTTCATCTGCATTGCTTATGCTGGTTTTCCCCACTCAGCCTTTCCCACTGACCCACCCCATCTAACCCACCTGCCCTGGGAGGTACCCGTCCAAAGGAGCTCCCATCCAGCCGCCCCTCACTTGGGACTAATGTCTCCCCATTGGGACTCCTGTCCTACCACCCCTGTTATGTAGCCCCCGTTGTGAGTGCCACCTCTCCAGCAAGACTCCTGTCGCAGGGCGTGAAGGAACTAATCACACCGACCAGTGAGCCTGCACTAGGTGTGGCTGGGCGTTTCCGTCGCCTGGCCTCTCAGCTAGCCGAGCTGGGGGCAGTGTGCCCACTACTGCGCCCATCATTGCAGATAGCCATATTGAGGGTCTCCTGCATTCATCAGTGCATATAGCGGCTGGGTCTCAGCCACAACAGGAGGGCACACACAGCCCACACCCGGAGCACCTGGTCCTGGTGGCCAGGGCGTGATTGTGGTTTAGGGTACCACAGGATGTCTTCTGTGTAAGGCCACTACTTTGAAGACCGGAAGATGTAGCTGAATTACTTAATACATTGCCAACACAGTGAGAAGACAGAGGAATCTGTTGCAAAGAAAATAACAGGACAAAAGCACTGAAAAGGAGCTAAATCATATAGAGATAAGTAATCTACCAGATGAAGAGTTCAAAGTAATGGTCATGTAGATACTCCCCAGACTTGAGAGAAGAGTTCATGAACACAGTGAGCACTTCAACAAGGAGATAGAAAATATAAACAAGAACCAATAGCAGCTGTGGAATACCATAACTGACAGGAAAAATATACTAGAGGGAATCCATAGGAGATTAGAGGATCCTAAACAGGTATCTGCAATCTGGAAGATGAGGTAGTGTGGGAAGCAACCAAGGTGAATAGCAAAATTACAATAACGGTGAGAAATAAATAACTGAGGATAAGTTCACGGACCTCTTTGGCCACAGCAATGATAATAACATTTGCATTATAGGGGTCTAAGGAGGAGAGGGAGAGAAAAGAGCAGAAACTTCTTTGAAGATACTATGGGTGAGGAGTTCTCAAATCTGGGCATGGAACAGATATCCAGGTCTGGGAAGTACAGCAGGGCCAAACTGGAAGAACAAAAAGAGGTCCACACCAACATTTATAATAAAATGGGAAAAAAATGAAATATAAAGAGGTTATCTTAAAGCAGCTAGAGAAACCAAACTCTAAACTACAAGGGAAATTCCATAAGGCTATCAGCTGATTTTTCAGGAGAAAAATGGCAGGCCAGTGGGGAGTGGCATGATACATTCAAAGTGCCAAAAGGGAAAAACCTACAACCAAGTATATTCTACTCAGGAAATTCATCACTCAGAATTGAAAGAGATAAAAAGGTTTCCAGACAAACAATAATTAAAGAACTTCATCACCATGAAACCATCTTTTTAAAAAAATCTTTTATTGGGGCGCCTGGGTGGCTCAGTCGTTAAGCGTCTGCCTTCGGCTCAGGTCATGCTCCCAGGGTCCTGGAATCGAGCCCCGCATCGGGCTCCCTGCTCCGCGGGAAGCCTGCTTCTCCCTCTCCCTCTCCTCCTGCTGTGTTCCCTCTCTCCCTATGTCTCTCTCTGTCAAATAAAATCTTTAAAAAAAAAATCTTTTATTTATTTATATGAGGAGAGAGAGTGCACATGCACAAGGTGGGGGCAGAGGGAGAGGGAGAGAGAATCTAAGCAGACTCTGCACCAAGCGTGGAGCCCAGTGTGGGGCTCGATCTCAAGACCCTGAGATCATGACCTAAACCAAAATCAAGAGTTGGATGCTCAAATCACAGAGCCACCCAGGCATCCCACCATTAAATCAGCCTTATTAATCATGAAGTACCTCTTTTTAGTGGAAAAGAAAAGGTAATAACTAAAAGCATGAGAATTATGAAAGGATATATAAATTTGCTGGTAGTTGAAAACATAAAGTTAGTAAATAAGTCACTTAGAAAGCTATTATGAAGGCTAAAACACAAAAGTAAAATCATTTGTATCTTGAGGTTAATCCATGGATACAGAGGAACAGATGTGAAATATGGGGTGCCTAGCTGGCTTAATCGGAGCATTGGCCTCTTGGTCTCAGGGTCATGAGTTTGGGCCCCACATTGGGCTTACATCTTCCTTAAAAAATAAACAAACAAACAAAAAACGCTGTGGGGGCACCTGGGTGGCTTAGTCAGGTAAGCATCTGCCTTTGGCCCAGGTCATGATCTCAGGGTCCTGGGATCCAGCCCCATGTCAGGCTCTCTGCTCAGAGGGGAGTCTGCTTCTCCTTCTCCCTCTGCCCCTTACCCAGCTCCTGCTCTGTCTCCCTCACTCTCACTCTCTCTCAAATAAGTAAATCTTAAAAAAAAAGAAAAAAAGCATGTAACAGACGAGCTAGAAGTACATGCTCCTCAATAATTACTTCCAATGTAGGTAGACTAAATGCTCCAGTCAAAAGGCGTATATTAATTGAATGATAAAAAAAAGAACCCATCTGTAGTCTGCCTAAAAGGGAGACACAGTACAGACTGAAAGTCAAGTCGGTTAAAATAGATTTTCCATGCAAATAAAAGTGGGGTAAAAAGTAGAGATCGAATACTTACATGAGATACAGTAGGTGTCACAACAAAGACTATAACAAGAGACAGAGACTGCCATGACATGAAGATAAACAGATCAATGAAACAAAAGTAGTATAACAGTTGATTATATCTACACATACAGCAGGGAACACCTAAATATATAAAGCAAATATTAAGAGAAATAAAGGCAGGGCGCCTGGGTGGCTCCGTCATTAAGTGTCTGCCTTCGGCTCAGGTCATGATCCCAGGGTCCTGGGATCGAGTCCCACATCGGGCTCCCTGCTCGGCGGGAAGCCTGCTTCTCGCTCTCCCACTCCCCCTGCTTGTGTTCCTGCTCTTGCTATCTCTCTCTCTCTGTCAAATAAATAAATAAAATCTTAAAAAAAAAAAAAAAAAGAAAGAAAGGCAGAAAATGACAGTAGTAAATAATTGTAGGAGGATTTAACACTCTACTAATGTGCTTGCATCGAACGTCCAGACTGAAAATAAGAGTGGATTTCAGTGACACATTACACCAGGTGGACATAATGAACATTCCATCCCAAACAGCAGAATACACATTCTTTTCAAGTGCATGAGGAACATTCTCCAGGATAGTTCATATGTTAGTCCACAAAACAAGTCTCAGTAAATTTACGAAGACTGTAATCTTTTTTTTTTTTTTTAAGATTTTGTTTATTTATTTGACAGACACAGCGAGAGAGGGAACACAAGCAGCGGGAGTGGGAGAGGGAGAGGCAGGCTTCCCGTGGAGCAGGGAGCCCGATGCGGGGCTCGATCCCAGGACCTTGAGATCATGACCCGAGCCGAAGGCAGACGCTTAACAACTGAGCCACCCAGGCTCCCCTGAAGACTGTAATCTTATGAGGCATGTTTTCCATGCACAACAGTATGAAATTACAAGTCAATAACAAGAAAAGGAAGAAGCTCAAACATGTTGAAGCTAAACAGCATGCTACTAAACACCAGTGGGTCAACAAAGAAGTCAAAGAGGAATCAGTAAAATACCTGGAGCCAAATAAAAATAAATGCATGATGCAACATTTTTGGCCTCTGCAGCACAAGCAGTGGTAAGATGGAAGTGTATAGTGATATGGGCCTGCCTCAGAAAACAATAAAAATCCCAAACAGTCAAACCTTACACCTAAAGTAACTAGAAAAAGAATAAGCAAAGCCCAAATTCATAAGGAAGGAAATAATAGAGAGCAGAACAGAAATAAATGAAATGGTGGTTAAAGATAGAAAAGATCAATGAAACTAAGAGCTGGTCTTTTGAAAAGATAAAATTGATAAAATCGAGCCAAACTAATCAAGAAAACGAGAAAGAAGACTTAAAATCAGAAATGAGAGAAAAGTTACAATTGACACCACAGAAATACAATGGGTTATGAGATTACATGGGAAATTGTATAGCAACAAACTGCACCACCCAGAGAAATAGATAATTTTTAGAAACTAATCTGCCAAGATGAGATCAGGAAGAAATAGAAAATGTAAACAGACTATTACTAGAAACAAAAGCGAATTACTAATCAAAACACATTCAGGAGAAATCCAGGACCAACCACATGACCTCACGGGTACATTCTACCAAGCAAATAAAGAAGAGTTAATACCTATTATTCTCAAACTACTCCAAAAAATAGAACAAGAAGGAATACTTCCAAACTCATTCTGTGATGTCAGCATTACCCTGATACCAAAACCAAAGACACTACAAAAAAAAAAAAAAAATTCACAGACAAATATCCTGAGGAACATAGATGGAAAAGTACTAAAGAAAATATTAGCAGGCTGAATTCAGAATACATTAAAAGGAGCATTCACCATAATAAAGTGGGATTTATTCCAGGGATGGAAGGAATTTTTAATATATGCATATCAAGCAGTATGATATACCACATCAATGAAATAAAATTATAAAAACCATGTGATCATCTCCATAGATGTAGAAATCATTTGACAGAATTCAACCTCCATTCCTGATAAACACTCTCAAACAGGTGTATATACAAGGAATATACCTCAACAGAACATAGGCCATAGATGACAAACCCACACTAATATACTCAATGGTGAAGAGCCAAAAGCTTTTTCTCTAAGATCAAGAACAAAGCAAGGATGTCCACTCTCACCAGTTTTATTCAACATAGTGGTGGAAGTCATAGGCCTACTAGTCAGACAACATAAAGAAATGGGAAGCATGCAACTGTTTAAGAAAATTGTCAATATCTTCAGATAATATGAAAGTATATGTAGAAAATCCTTAAGACTTCACCAAATACTGTTAAACTAACAAATGAATTTAGAAATGTTGCAGGAGGGGCACCTGGGTGGCTCAGTTGGTTAAGCAACTGCCTTCGGCTCAGGTCATGATCCTGGAGTCCCGGGATCCAGTCCCGCATCGGGCTCCCTGCTCAGCGGGGAGTCTGCTTCTCCCTCTGACCCTCCCCCCTCTCATGTGCTCTCTCTCATTCTCTCTCTTTCAAATACATAAATTAAAAAAAAATCTTTAAAAAAAAAAAAAGAAATGTTGCAGGATACAAAATTAATATACCAAAATCTGTTGCATTTGTATAACTCATAACAAAATAGCAGAGAGAAATTAACAATCCTATGTTTAATTCCTTCAAAAACTATAAGATATGGTAAATAAATGTAAGGAAGGTGAAAGACCTGTACTCTGAAATCTATATTTATTTATTTTTTAAAGATTTTATTTATTTATTTGACAGAGACACAGCAAGAGAGGGAATACAAGCAGGAGTGGGAGAGGGAGAAGCAGGCTTCCCACAGAGCAGGGAGCCTGATGGGGGGCTCAATCCCAGGACCCTGGGATCATGACCTGAGCCAAAGGCAGATGCTTAATGACTAGCCACCCAGGTGCCCCTGCCCCTTTTAAAGATTTTATTTATTTACTTGACAGAGAAACAGCGAGAGAGGGAACACAAGCAGGGGGAGTGGGAGAGGGAGAATATAAGACATTTAGTGAAGAAAATTGAAGATGACACACTAACTGGAGAGATAAACCCTTGTCATAGATTGCAAGGATTAGTATTTTTAAACATGCCCATACCATGAAAAGCACTCTACGTGTTCAGTGATGTCTCTATCAACATACTAATAGTACTTCTAAAAGAATTTGAGCGAAAAATTTAAAAATTTGACTGGAAACAGAAAATATTCCAAATATACCAAAGCAATGTGGAAGAAGTGTACCAAAGCTGAAGATATAACATTCCCAGATTTCAAAGTATACCACAAAACTCTATTAATCAAAACAGTATGTTACTGGCACAAAAACAGACACATGGGTCAAGGGAACAGAATAGAGTCCAGAAATAAACCCATGCTTATATGGTGAAATTATCCACCAAAAAGAATCTGAGAATATACAATGGGGAAAGACTCTCTTCAATAGCTGGTGTTAAGAAAATGAGACAGCTGTCTGCAAAAGGATGAAACTGGACCACCTTCTTACACCTTACACAACAGTAAACTCTATATGGATTGAATACCTAAGTGTAAGACTTGAAACCGTACACCTCTTAAGACAAAACAGAATCGTTAAATTCATGGACGTCAGCCTTAGCAATACTTTCATGGAATTATCCCTTCAGACAAGGGAAACAAAAGGGAAAATTTAAAAATGGGGCAGAGGAACATAGTAGACATTTTCCCAAAGAAGATACACAGATGGCCACTAGGCACATGAAGAAGCTGCTCAATATCACTAATCATCAAGGAAGTGCAAATCAAAACCACAATGAGATACCACCTCACACCAGCCAGATTTGCTGGTATCAAAAAGACAAGAAATAACAAGTATTGGTGAGGATTTGGAGAAAAGGAAACTCATCTTTGCTGGTGGGAAGGTAAATTGGTGCAGCCCCCATGGAAAACAGTATGGAGTTTCCATAAAACAGCACAGAAGTACCATATCATCTATAATTCCACTTCTGGGTATTTAACCATAGAAAAAGCACTAATGTTCATTGTAGTGTTAGTTACAATACTCAACATACGGAAGGAACTCAAGTGTCCATCAACAAGATGAATGGATAATGAAGATGTGGAAAATGCATATAAGGGACTGTTACTCAGCTGTGTAAAAAGGATGAAGTCTTCCCATTTGTGAAAACGTGGATGGACCTAGAGGGACATTATTCCAAGTAAATAAGTCAGACAGAAAGATAAACACCATACTTTACTTATATGTGGAATCTAAACAGCAAAATGAATGAACAAACAACAGAAAATAGAAACTGACTTAAAACTATAGAGAACAAATTGGTGTTTGTAAGATTGGAAGGGGATGGAGGGAGAGGTAAAATAGATGAAAGGGATTGAGTGGTACAAAGTCACACTTAGTAAATATGTGAATGAAAAGTACAGCAGATGGAATATGGTCAATAATATTGTATTAGTTTTCTATAGGGACAGATGATAATCATACTTACCGTGGTGAACTTTTTGTAATGTATATAATTGTTGAATCACTGTGTTTTACACCTGACGCTAATATTGATGGTCAATATGCTTCCACTAAAAAAAGAAAAAAGAAAGAAGAAGAAAAAAGTCCACACTATCCATCATCATTGAACTCGAAGAATAAAGTAAGAGCCCATCTTCCAGATTTCTTGTCACCCTCCAAATCCTTCCTCACGCTCGGCTGTTCTCCAGGGGCTGGGCAGCAGCCACACACACCATCCAACCTCCCAGTGGCAGTTGGGGCAGTCCAGGCAGGCTTCACCAAGGGCCTCTGTGCCTTCAGAACATCCCAGCAACCCTCAGTTGGGCCAGGTTCTGGAGAAGGGAACAGCATTAGGACATGTCCATTAGAAACGTGACTCAGTTTTGTTTGAGAAGGGTGATTTTGTCACTCACCTGGCTTTCAAGTCGGACTGTTCATTCATCCTCACCCACATTGCAAGTCTTTCTGTATTCCTCTTAACAGAGGTAGAGTGCGGGTGTATCTTGCCCAGGTCCTTTCTACTTTCCTTTTCTGATAATACTTATCTCCACATTAGTCTTCATCAATTTTGAAGTATTTCTGAGTAAACGGGCTGCCCTTCATACACTTTTCCTCTTACTGCCAAAGTCCCAAATCACTAGGGTCCTCAGAATTTTTCTTTGGTCACTTGTCCATTCTTCCTGATGAGCTTCATTTACATTTTGTGATGAGTCTATGAATAGAAATCGACGTATGGTCTATTTTCTTACCTTCAAACATCAGATCATTCCCAAGAAATTACATTATGCTACCAATTTTTGCAGTTTGTCTCAGTCAAGATAAAAGGAGTGCATCGAGGACTCAGCAGAATATTTTGCAGAATGAGTTACCCAGTGAAGAGAAAATAGTCATATTTGCAAGAAATGATTCATGTTCTGTTTTTGGAGAAAACCGGAAATTCCATGGCAGTGGAGATCAGACCCAAACCCAGGAGGGGCATTTGAGGTGAGTGACACTCCTGCAGGAGAAGGGGATCAGGGCAGATTGTGAGACTAAGGTGAAATCAAAGGATAGGTGAAAGCACACCTCAATAATTGTATAATCATAATTTTCACATGAAATTTTAATTAATGCATTGTAGATATTTATCATCTGAAAACTAATGGGGAAGTTGGAAACAATGGTGAGAAAAACTGTATCTGAGAAAACTAGAGTGTTATGAAAATTTGAGTCCTCAGCCAATGCATTATGCTTATTTCACTTTGTTACCATGGAGACAGTGCCAAAAATGTACCCATCCATTGAAAATGGCCATTATGTAGTCAAATAATCATTAATAAGCATCAGTAGATCATTAATAAAGAGTTTGGTTATAATCATTATTCCTTAACAGTGTGCCTTCCTATTTTGAACAGAAGTCATTTGGTGGAGCATGTCTGTGAAAGCAATGAAGGTAATCAATGTGGAGATACCGTAAACCAAATTACTAGTTTTACTGTGCATGAGGATTGTACTACTGGAGATAAATCCTGTGAATGCGTTAAGTGTAGAGAAGCCTTCACAGATGGATCTTTCCCTGAGAACCCAGGAAGATCTCATCCTGGACACAAACCTAGTCCCTGTGAGGAATGTGGGCCAGCCTGCAGCTGTGTCTTGAGCCGCAGCACTGACTTGGACGCAGACCTTGTAGAAAAACCCTATGAACGTCGTGAACATCAGGACTCTGGCACAGCATTTAAGAGATACTTGAAGAATCTCAGCAGTAAAAAATCTTTAGAGTGCAAGAAATGTGGAAAAGCTTTCACACGCACCTCATCCTTTCAGGATCATGTGCAAGGTCGCTGTGGACAGAATGTCCATGTGTGTGATGTATGTGGGAAAGCTTTTATGTATAATTCTGATCTTACACGTCATGTGAGAACTCACACTGGGGAGAGACCATATAAATGTGTGGAGTGTGGGAAAGCGTTTAGGTCTACTTCAAGCCTGCAAAGACATGCGAGGACACACGCTCGGGAAAAATCCTCTAAATGTCAGCAATGTGGGAAAGCCTTCCCTGATCACTACTCGCTTGAAGTACACATGAGAAGACACAAAGAGGACAGACCCTTGGAATGTAAGGAGTGTGGGCAAAGTTTCAGGGAGCATCTACCTTTTGAACGTCACATGACCACACACAATGTAGTGAAACCCTATGAATGTAAGGAGTGTGGCAGAGCCTTCAGGTATCACACAGCCCTTGGAGTACATATGAGGACACATACTGGGGACAGACCCTACAAATGTAAGGAGTGTGGGAAAACTTTCCGGAAGTGTGAACATTTTAAACGTCACATGACCACACACAGTACCGTGAAACCCTATGAATGTAACCGGTGTGGCAAAGCCTTCCGGGATCACACAGACCTGCGAATACATATGAGGACACACACTGGGGAAAGACCCTATGAGTGTCAGCAATGTGGGAAGACCTTCAGATATCTTGGAAATCTGCGAGAACATGTGACAACACACACTGGGGAGAGACCGTATGAATGTCAACAATGTGGGAAGACCTTCAGGTATAACTCATGCCTGCGAGAACACATGAGGAAACACACTGGGGAGAGACCCTATAAATGTCAGCACTGCGGAAAAGCCTTCATTCGTCACCACACCCTTGTAGTACATACTGTGAGGAGGCACTCAGAGGGTGGACACTTGGAATGTAAGGAGTGTGGTGAAGCTTTCAGAAAGCATCGACCTTTCGAACGTCACATGGCCACACACAATGTCCTGAAACCCTATGAATGTAAGGAGTGTGTCAGAGCGTTCAGGTATCACAGAGACCTACAGGTACATACGAGGACTCACACTGGGGAGAGACCCTTTAAATGTCAGCAGTGTGCGAAAGCTTTTAAGTCTCCTGCAAACCTTCGCGCACATACGAGGACACACGCTGGGGAAAGCCCCTGTGAGTGTCAGCAGTGTGGGAAAGTCTTCTCGACTCCTGGAAACCTGCGAGCACACATGAGGACACACAGTGGAGAAGGACCCTGTAAATGTCAGCAGTGTGGGAAAGCGTTCGCCTGTGCTGCGTCCTTACGAGTACATACGAGGACACACACTAGAAAGCCACCCTATGAATGTCACAGCTGTGGCAAAGCCTTCAGGAGTCCATCACACCTGGAAGCACACATGCGGACACACACTGGGGAGAGCCCTTTTAAGTGTATGGAGTGTGGGAAAGCTTTCAATCGGCCTCAGTGTTTTCAAGATCATTTGAAAACGCACAGCACAGTTAAACCCTATGAATGCAAGGAGTGTGGGAAGGAATACAAGTTTCCCTCATCCCTTCGAGTGCATATGAAGAAACACACTGGGGAGAGACATTCACTAGTCACCGCTCCCTTCAAGAACACATGAGGATGCGCAGTGGACAGGATCCCTTTGAATCTAAGGACCCTGGTAAGATCTTCCAGTGTCCCGTAGACCTGCAAGTACGTGTGATGACACTCACTAGAGCAGAACCATATGAATGTCTGCACTGTGAGAAAGCCTTCCATTGTCCCTCTTCCCTTCGAGGACACATGTGAAAGCACAGTGATGTGAAACCCTATGAACTTAAGAACCATGGAAAAGCCTTCAGGTACCTCATCAATCTGGGAGCACAGACATGATGTGGGAAAGCATTTATTCTCCCTAAAATCATTTTTAAAATGAGAGCCAATACCTGGAGATGAACCTGAATGGACACAATTTTGGTAAATCTTCTGGTATCAACTTTATGTATTTTGTTCATGAAAATGTCAGTGGGGCAGAAATCGTTTCATTGTTATAAACACGGTTTTGTTTTTGCAAGTGCCTCTTCCTTGATAGAGATGCGAAGTGTCTTAATTCCTAGTTCATGTCGCTGATGTGAACACTAATGATGGTCAGTGTCCTTTGTCCTCTGCATCTCTACAACATACACTTTGTTATCTCAGACTTGGAGTAATCACATGGTTATGTGAAACATGTCTCTTTTCCATTACAGTGTCTCTTGGACTCAGGTTGATAAGAATGTGTCTGTGGGAGGGGTGTGTGCATACAACTTTATATAACTTTAGAAAAAAACTTTCTTATGCTCACATTCCAAAATTCTCTTAATCTATGATCATCACATGAGACTTATTGTTGAAAGTTCTTTTCTGGGGCGCCTGGGTGGCTCAGTTGGTTGAGCGACTGCCTTCGGCTCAGGTCATGATCCTGGAGTCCCGGGATCGAGTCCCACATCGGGCT